TAATATAATAAAACGTCAAACTGATATAACTTGTCACAATTCTACATTTATTTTTTAAAATATCCGTGGGCAATATTAATGTCCAAAATCAATTTCCAGCATGGGTTTCTATTTATTTAAAATTATATAAAAAAAAAGTTTTATTATCGGCAAAATGGTTTAATTTAAAAATTTTTCGAAATAACTGTGTCATGAACTGTGTACACGAGCAAGTATTGCATTTTTTAGCGTCTATAGTATATTCCCCTGTGACATGCGCGACTCTCTTGACACGGTCCGCATAACTTTCTTACATTTTCCGGCATGAGCCATGACGGAAGATCCGTATTTCAGAGCGCGAATGGCGATAGCAGGAGCTCTCGACTCGACAGCCATTCAAACGAGAGACGCCTTCGCGAAAAGTCGCTCGCGAAATTCTTCGTGCCACTTTCTTCATCGGGCGCGCGAAATTCGCGGCACGTCTCTCCAAAGTATGCATCTCTTCGAAGGTGTCGCTAAAAATTGCACGCTTGACAGTTTCGAAATACGAATCATACGCGCGACAAAAAGTTCCTCGAGCGCGTCTCCCAAAATCACACGACGAATTAAATTTGTCCAAAATCTCACCCTCTCGGCGAGAGATTTGACCGAAACGATAAAACGTAGCGCAGTAAATTATATATGTTGCGCAATATTTTTTACGAATTTTGTCGTGAACATATGTGAAAGTTTGTACGCGCGAAACGTGTGACGGGCTTATATTTCTGCTTCAAAATAGTGGATGCGAGGATACAGGTATGTATGTATACGTACAGGGTGTTTTAGAAATGCGGAACAATTTTTAATGTCAAATTCCTGGTATCATTTGGAGACGATTTTTCCTTAGTGAAAATGTTAAGGGAGATCATCATTTTTAGCATGTTCCCAATTTTTGCTATTACGTATCTTTATATAACTAAGCCTATTAAAATTCTATTAAAGCAAACTCTACCTAAAATTTATCGAAGAATGTAGTTCTGTTAATATTTCATTTCCACAAGGCTTAGTTTCCAAAACAGCCTTTATTTTCAATTGTTTATAATTCAAAAATTATTGGTGTCCCGACATTTTTGCTGAGGAAAAATCGTCTCCGAATGATACCAGGAATCCGCCATTAAAAACTATTACGCAAGTTTTGAAACACCTTGTATATACATATATATATATATATATATATATTATAACCGTATCGCGCGGAATTCGCAGCGAATATCCATTCGTCGCGGAAGGAGAAAAGTCTCCTGCGGAATATCGGTTACCTTCGGCGCGATCTCTCCGTTCGATCACAAAAAAAAAATTTGCAACAAACAAAAAAAAAAAATAATAAAGAGAAAACTAAAATCTCAATTTAGTTGGGCGCCAGGTGCGGCAGCCGCACCGTCTCTCAATTAATAAATTCGCGGGACGCTAAGTCTTAATTTCCTCGGACTTCTTGTCCTAGCCCTTTCGCGGGCGTCAATCACGGGAGAGAGAGAGAGATCGCGACGGCAACTTTCCCGCTCGGCTAGCCTCTGTGCGGGTAAGGGTTCGGGTGCGTGGCGGCGAGAAATCACCCTAGGAATTAAAGTTAATAAAACATATATTTAAATTTTGTTCACAAGACACATGAGTATATAATATAAAGAAATAAGCGGCGTGCACAGACGCACGATTGAGAGTTCGGTGGGGCACTACGCCCGATGGTTCGCCGTGCCGAGTTATGAATAATCTTTAACAAATTCGCGGCAACGAGGTAGGGTCCCCAATAACGAAAAGACGATTAATTAAATCGGCGACGCGCCACCGGGTATATGGCTCCACGCCGCGGGCGCGTGATCCGCGCGGTATGCGCGACAACAAAGGGGCCGGCGTAAGGGCGCACCGCGTGCGCCGTACATAAATTCCACACACAAAATCAAACGTAATCACGCCTTTTCGTTTAAGCCTTTACAACCTCAATGCTTTACAACATTAATACTTTACATTATCAATACTTTAATGAGCCTGAAAGCGTTTATGAGCTCTTTGATTTTCGCTTCGAACAATAATCGGCAACGCGTAATTCGCGGTAATTTTCGCGCGACAATGTTACGCGCGAGGACCGTCCACGCGGGAGAGAGAATATGCGGAAACGCGAGAGAGTGGATGGGTCGTAATTTCTCCCAATAGGGTCTCGCTACGTTACTAACGCGACTCGACAATAAACGAATCTCTCGAAAATTTTCCAAAACGGCCGGCAACTAAGTCCAGCGTAAGCTATTAACGATAAATGATTCGGAACCCATCCACCCTACTACCTTAATTCGGCGACAGCAGGATGACCACGTCGTCTCACCAGTCCTATGACGCTCCTTGGCGTCCTCTCCTCTCTCGCTCTCTCTGAGTTGCGCTTCAGCTCGGGACTTCTGCTCTCCTCGGGCGCTCGCTAGACAGTGCCGAACCGGGGGCCCTCAGAAGACACGTCGGTGACCCAATTACTTAGATAGGCCACTCGCGGCGCTATCAGGTCGGCCGCGCGCGCGGCCTCGGTGATCCTTGCGGCCGCGCGCGTAATTATCCTTACCCGCGGAGTCCTGATCCGCGGGTTGCCCCTCGTAGGCGGTCGTCGCGGCAGCGCACGGCAGGGCCGCTCCTTGCTCTCCTTCGGGATTCCGGATGTCCCGGGGGCGGCAGCTCTCCTGCCGGCGCTCCGTATGCGGGGACTCGGGTGCTTGTTGCACCCGAGTGGCCATCCCCTGCTCGCTCCTGGAAGGTACAAATTTTGAGGCAGTGGCACCTACTCCGTTGTCGGATATTTGGTGAAGAAATTTTTAACCTTGGGCTTACCGGGCATGTCCCTGACGAAGGGGGTCCCCGTCGTCCTGCTTCCTATGCCTTCCTTTTTCTCCTCCAGGTTTTCTCTATCGGCTGAGACTCGTCGCACATCCTGTCTGCCGCCGAAATAATCCTAACTCTCAACAAAAAAATATATGGAAACGCGTAGCAGCGGGTTCGCGTCCGATCCCGCGCTTTCGCACGCACGCTCTCTCTCTCTCTCACTGTCTCGGGAGAGCAGAGGTCCCGTGCCCTCCCCCGATCGGGCCATTCAGCCCTTGTGACGGACAATTTCAATTTGTCACGTCACAATATATATATATATATATATATATATGTATAATATAATGGATCCGTGTTTCCTTTTCGCGCTGGTTGCTTCTCGAAAACAAGATCGATAAATGGTTAAAGATAGAATGAACGATTGACTCTGTGCTTTCCTGTCGAATCACACCTACGACTTTTCAGAGAATACATATCGAATAAAGGGGTTATATTTTACTCCATTTCAAGTGGAACAATCGGAATTGACGCAGTGTAAACGGATGTTGCAACTGAATATTTTATATAAATGGATTTTCGTATATAAATATTCTTGATTCGACAGAGAGTAAAAGCGATTTATTTAACAAATAAACTTTGGAAAAGCATGCAAGTTGAAATATATGGCACGTGTAAAATTCTTTCGATTATTCTGTCGATAATTAGTGACAATTCGCGTCCGGAAAAATTTTCTGAAAATTTTCAGCGTATTCACGTTCGACAAAAATGAACATTTCCTCTCAGTCAACAGGAGACGTTCAAGAGATTAATGAGAGGCTGTGAAATGCGATGTGTGTGTGTGTGTGTGTGAGTGCGCAAACATTCCCATTACCTTTTTCCCGCGATACTTCGCCACGCAATCGACTGCCACTCGTTTCTTCATAATGACGAAATGCTAATTACACGCGCGATCGATATTTCTTCGTCGCTCGCAACCACGACTAATTGCCGAGCTCTTTTAGCCAAAAAGATGGAAAAAGAAAGAGAGTGAGAGTAAAAAAAGGGAAAGAGAAACTACTCGAGCTCGGTCCTACAGAGAAACAAAGAAGCCGACTAACCGGGAACGGGAAAGAAAAAACATTTTACAATGCTAGTTCGCATCGTAACGAGTAACCTTTGTGGCAAGTCGCGACGTGCCGAGGACGTTAACGGGGAAAAAGCACGTGGGGAAAGCTTTTATGCCACGCTACGTCGATAACTCTGCGCGAAGAAGACCGCTTCGGGAAGAACGTCAGCTGCGGGCGTCGTTCTCTGGCGGAATAAAGTCTTCTCTCAAAAATATCATCCGCCAGAGGGAGAGAATGCCTAAGATCCTATCTTACGGATATATAAAGATGAAAGAAAAGATATTTTCAAAAAATATTCGCACACATATATTCAATAATATTCCTTGACATTTAAACAATAATTAGTAAGATCGAAGAAATATTGAAAAAATATAGGTAGCAGTCGAGAAAAATATCGAAAAATTGTAGGTAGATGTAAAAAATATCTGAAAGTAAAATAAATGACATGCACAAAAAAAAATATGTAAAAATATGTAAAAAAATATCCAACCTAACCGAATATTCAATATCGATGCGGTCTGGAAGACGTTTATCTTCTCGGTGTTGTGTATTACATATTGACAGCGTGGAAAAGGATCTTTCCTTAGGCGAACGAGGACTGCGGGAGTCGCGGTAACGGAAAGTCGACCTCGAAAGAGAAGCCGGGGTGGAAATGAAAAATCGTCGGCGCCGTCGAGCCAAAAGTAACCAACCACCTACTAGCTCTCGCCTACAGATAAGAGAAAATAACGAGGCCGACAGACACGCGGAAGAGAACTAATTCGCCGCATATTTCACGCACGTCCGCCCCGTGGTCGCTTTCGAGAATAAAAGGATTACTCGTGGCTCTCTCTCTTTCTTTCTCTGAGATGTATTTATATATTTATGCGTCATACATTTCTGGACGTATTAAGGACAAAAATACAAAGTACAATTGATCTGAATCTTGGTCAATTTTTGCAGTTCTCGAGGACATTTATACGTGGAATTCAATTAAAATAAAATAATTTCACGGCGATACTTTTAATGAAAATATTTGAAGCAATGTTAGAGAGGACGGTTAAAAATGTGAGAATAAATATTAATATTTAATGCACTCACCTTTTCACCGCTGTCGCTGGGTAGATAAAACGTAAGAACCGTGAGGAATGATATTCCCATACAGGGAATTATAATGTTCACCGTGTAAAAGAGGGTTTTTCTCCTCATTGTGATGTTGAACGTGATGTCCAAGTAGGGCTCGTCGCAGCAGGTGTAAAACTTCTCGTTCCTGCGAGAAGAAAAGAAATCCGCGGTTAATCGCGGTTAAAGGATCGACGAGCTGGTGCGAAGAAGAAAGTACGGAAGAAATTACGGCGATATAAAGTAAAAAGAAAAATAACAAAAATCGCACCTACGAAACGTAAAATTTCCGCCATTTGGCAGCGAAGTGTTTGTACCCAACAATAAGTACGTTTTAAGTAAGTGAGGTCGGCTATGTGAGGCGAGACTTATGAGGAAAGTTTCGCGGGATCGTATAACTTTGCCGAGAAGAGATCCCTATAAGTCGGTAACTCGGCTCGACTTCTTTCTCATTCTTCTCTTTTTTCTTATCCCCATTTTTCCCTCCTCTTTTTGCGATAGTCTCAGACCGGAATCGGTAACGTCTTGTGTCTCGTGAATAAATTTTAAATAATTTCTCTTTCGAGCGTTCAACAAAGTTTCCACCCCAAATTAAACAAGCTTCAATATAGATGTATCAAAATTGCGAGTTGAACGATTTCTTGGAGACTCACTCAAATTTCGTCATGTTTATATATATATATATATATATATATATATATATATTAAATTAATAAATATTTATTTCAATACTGTACCTAAATTATTTGTTTTGAAAAGAATTTTTTTATGTGAAATAAATATATCTCACATCAAATCAGTATTATTAATTTCAAATAAATGATTCATTAGGCGGTGTTAAAATAAATATGTGTTCGAATTTAATAAATTTTTGTTCAGTGCATTAATATAATATTTCCCGAGTGTCAAAACGTCAATATTGCGATTAAATTTCTATAGTCGATCGATCAGAGTTTCTCGCGAAGATTCCACTCTCGGGAGCGTGACACAAATAGGGACGTTTAAATTGAATGAAGTATCGATACTCGAGTATAATATCGCAGATACAATATCGATACTAAAAGTATTCAAACGGTAAAGTATCGATATTTCGAAATATCGTGAACATCTCTAGTGGCAAGTCGCTTCAAGCTACTGCGAAAACATCCACTCTGCCGTTGCGTTGGCTTCCGGAAGCTGAACCCGGTTCTCGTCTCTGCATCACGGTACGCTGAATATCGGGGATCGAATCGTGCCCGGAAGCAGCCCGCTTATACCAGACGAGCATATTGAATGCGAAGGAATGTTTCATAAGAAAAGAGGGAGAGAGAGAGAGAGAGAGAAGGGCCTTTTATTCGCTGGTCGCACTCTAAGATTCCGATACCTCTCGATTTGATGCTCGAGGATCTCGAGGAGATTATATCGAGATTTTTATTTCGAAAAAAAATAGATTTCCCATATCCTTACTTAAACTTTGCGATATTTTTGCAATGTATGATAAGTTACGCGCGCGTATTTAACTTATAAAAATTTCTTTTTTTTTTTCAAATTTTTAGCAAAAAAATAATTATTATATATATTATTACAATTTTTTCATATATTATTTATTTTATAATAACTCTTTTTTCCTATTCTTCTTTCTTTTAAATTTTAATAATTCAAGATATACAAATTTTAAAAAGAATTTTTTAGAAATTAAACAGTATATAATAATAATATTATATATAATATGATAATACATATTATATATGATAAAATTGCACAAATAAAAAGAATAGGAAAAGAATTATTATTATATACTGTTTAATTTCTAAAAAATTCTTTTTTAAAATTTGTATATATTTAGAATTATTGAAATTTAAAAGAAAGAAGAATAGGAAAAAAGAGTTATTATACAATAAATAATATATGATGAAATTGCAAACATTCCTCCCTATCTTAAAGAAGAATAGCAAAAAAATAATTATTATATGATAATATATCATATATGATAAAATTGCACAAATAAAAAGAATAGAAAAAAATTTCATTTTTAAATATAAGAGTTTTAACAAGGCTCTGTAATATAAATATAAATTTAACGTATAAGACGGGCAACAAGAGCCAAATCGCGGATGACAATGCGTTATCCTAACGAAACTAAATAATTTTTCGTTAGAATTAAATACCGGTGCACAAGGCACCAAATTTTACTTGGACACGGCCAAGATTTTAAATATGAAATAATCTCATATTTTGAGATTTAATTTCAATACCCCTTTAACCCCCCTACGGAAAATAAATAAATGAATGCAAGAGAAAAATATAGATCCGAAAATCGATTCCCGATTCAGCGATTTTCGGATCTATATTTTTCTCTTGCATTCATTTATTTATTTTCCGTAGGGGGGTTAAAGGGGTATTGAAATTAAATCTCAAAATATGAGATTATTTCATATTTAAAATCTTGGCCGTGTCCAAGTAAAATTTGGTGCCTTGTGCACCGGTATTTAATTCTAACGAAAAATTATTTAGTTTCGTTAGGATAACGCATTGTCATCCGCGATTTGGCTCTTGTTGCCCGTCTTATACGTTAAATTTATATTCATTTTTAAAATTTGTATATCTTTAATAATTAATTTAAATTTAAAAGAAAGAAGAACCAATTTTGCTTAGTATTTGACCGACACGTTCCGCAGATTTAGGGATTGAAATAAAGCGATAATATACGCAAAAGGGATATAGACTTACCGCACTGCAGGCACTTCTAGAATATCCCATTCTACCGACATGTAGAATTCGGACAGGTCAACCCCTACGTCCACCACGTTGCTCCCGGATTTTTCGTCCATGTGTCTTAGATCGACCTAGAGTGACAGAAAAAGCGGCTGGCATTAAGCTCGCGTGTGTGAAAAGCTCGACGTCGTTGTTAACGTTCGAACGCCATGCCCACGTAATTCATCTCTGACGTACGAGCGTGCAGTCGTGGAACATTTAAAAACGTGAAAACGTTTCAACAAACCAAAAGAAAAAATTATTTGTCGAAAATACACACATTCTCTAGATAAAAATCTATAAACAGAAAGAAATTCAGCAAATACATAAATATATATATATATATAAATGCGTCGCGACATCGGTCTACAACTGCACGCTCGCGATTAACTGCTTAATTACGAACAATAAATAATTTAGAAATGAACTTTTAGTGCATGTCTTGAGATGCACTTGGTGTTCGCAGAAGCGCAGAGGGAGCACAAGAGATCTAAAACTGTCAAGGAAATATGAAAAAACGGAGCGTCGACTGTATGGTGGTCCGCAACAACAGGACACTCTAGAGCAGCAACTAGATCAGCAAAATATATGTATGTATATATATCGCCTTCAAATACATATAAATATATATCAATATCTATGTATATGTGTGCACCACGTTGCAGAGTTAAAAAGAACACGCACAGTCAAAGAAAGAAATCAGACTAGCACACTCGATTCGGGTTCACTCTGTGAATCCGAGGGGCTAACAGCAGCTATTTGTATATATATATATATATATATATATATATATATATGCGCCTAAAACGCTAAACTTGTCGGTGTGAACGTGTCTTAAAATCGCTGATAGTCGCCTGTAAACTGCCTGGGAGCTTTGTATGTGCGGAGCTAGGTCGGAAAATGGGTCGATGAAATTCCTGTCTCGACCCAGAAGAGAAATTGGCTCTCGTAACTTTGACGATCCCTCTCCTTCGTCCCCTCCACCCCGCTTCTTTTACTTTATACAATAGTCTTTACTTTATATAATGGTCACTATTGTATTCCGTTTTTGATGATATCGCGAAATTTTGCGACGCTATCTTTTTATAATTAATGCTCAGTCTCTCCCCCGAATTTCGTTTAATTTCGCGTTTCAATTTCATTTATAAAATCAAATTGTTCTTTTTTTCATCGAGAGTAATAACGCATTTATATATTCCGCTGTGCTTTCTTAACGTTGAATATTTATATTAGAGAGTTTTCCGGAGCAGTTATACGTATCGCATATATATATTACTATGATGTCAACGTTAATGCGCGACGCGGAAGTAGTTTGCCACGCGGGGAATAATTTCGGAATGCTGTTAGTTTCCCCACACATTGTCTTCTCTGTGCGGGGCCGTTCGAGCGACGTGCAGCAAGATTAAAGCCGGCGGCGGCTTTAATGTAACGTAAGTGTCTAACCATTGGCCCTGGCGATCGCGCGCGACCCACAGTGGTATTACCGTGAAATACGTCCGACAGACGCGTCCCCTGGTGTGATTCGAGTAACGGTGCACTTTGCGGACGATACTTTGTCACTGCTGCGGGGCGAGATTAAAGCCGGCAAACAATTTCGATGCAGCGCGGTTCGGCGGTGGTTCCCGAAGAACCAACCGCCGCGCTATCCGTCCCAAATTGCCTCGAAAAATCTGACGAGCCGCTCCTGCGACAATAAATCTTGCTCTTCGTGCCGCGGTATTATAAATCACGTACCGGCGATTTTTGCAGGAAATGTTTGCGCGTGTGCGACAACATTGTTGAAAAAAAGTTTATATATATATATATATTTTAGGATGCCATTTATTCTTGAAAAATAGAATTGTTATATGTAGTTAATAATGGTGATTGAAAAACGTAATAGAAACTAGGAGGGAACCCATTTATTTTTCCTCTCTCCCGTTTTTTATCGATCTGCGAAATTGCACAGCTACAAAAGCTCGAGTAATGTAATTTACTACGACCCACTTTTCTCACTTGAATCTAATAATTGTTCCTTCCCGAGAAGAAGTTTGGATCCCGAGATTAAATTCAATCGTCGTGGAATTAGTGAGAGCAAAATTTCGCGCGATATTCGATCGAAAATCAGTCACGTGTCTCGAAAATGATTTTTATCGTCGACTCTTTGCAGAAACGTCAAAAAAAAAAAAATATATATATATATCGATAAATTTCCGAAACGAAAATTTCGGGAAACTTTACGGGTATTTCGCACCTGTTACAAAATAACATTTCAATTAGGTTCGCGGAGAAGGAGAAGCTGCGGACGGAATTAATTAAAGGCGCGGCGTGTACGAGATACCGCACCCATCTGATCTTGGCGAACTTTACTAAAGATCCTTTGAGGTGTAGACAGGCTGCTACATTAATCTCCCGCGGGAACATTTCTAGACGGAGGCGGAATTTAAAAAAAAAAAATCTACCTCGCAAGTCCAAGCACGTCGCGCGACCTTTTTTTCTCGAAAAATTGCGTTATCTTCCACGCCTCGTAATCGTTACGTGTGATTCGCCCGTTTCGCATTTATCTCGCCAATTTACTCCTGCGTTTCGCGGAGAGAATTAATAGCATTCGCGCGTGACATCACTTTATTACACAATTATTATTTATTTATTATCAAGTCCGTTTAACGTCCAGCAGACTTTTTCTCCTTCCGTTTTCGTTTAATCATCGCCGTTTCTTTTTTATGAAATATTTCTTGTGCCACATGCACAAATAAATAAATTAATTTTAGCAATATTATTTTCTCTTACGATAGATATATTATTATTAAGGCTGCAGTAAATGATTAGATCTGTAATAAGCGTCGCACTTTCACAAGAAGCGCATCGAAAATTTTGTTGTACAATCTACTATTTTTTGTATTTTGTAACCACATACCACGAATATTCGAATATTCCGAAAGAGAAAAAGTTGATCCGTGGCACTCTTCCAAATTGCGTTCGCGTTCGTTCCAAACTAACTGACGTACAAAAGAGAATGGAAGTCCGATGAGACGAAGTTTGTGAACGCGGGAGAGTTGAAAGGAAAAACAGACGGGAACGTAAGTCACGAAGAGGAAGACGCGGGTTTCTTAAGCAGCGATAAAAGTCGCCGAAAGATCCCTCAAAAGCTCGAAGCTTTGAAACGAATCGACTGGGTCAAATGATTGGAGCGACATGTAAGAGTGGGGCACAGTTGACGTTCCTTGACCCGCAGGATTTTTTCCAGGCAATATTTTTTTTATTTCTTATTATTCTCTCTTAATTTTAAATTCGATTTTTCTATTATTTTGTAATTTTTAAATATTTTTGTATTAAATAAAATGCTTAATTTTTGACCCGTCTTATACAGTTACGCGTCGAGATCATTAAAGTTTCTCTTCTCGTTCCGGGAATGTACATATATAGCTCTCTTCGCTGATGTAAGAAAGTCGAGATTTTCACCGAGACGTGGACGTTAAAGAATACCCATAGGAATAACGATGCGTCGTACTTGCTTCTTTATTGACTTTGAAGGAGAAGGAGATGACACCGTCGCGAATCCTTGTTCGGAATCGAGAGAGAGAGTTAGCTCGATAATCGCATATCGGAAATTGCTGTATTAAAGTGCGCAGCGCTATGACATTTTTACGCGTTTCTACTTATTAAGTCGTTATTGTTGTTTTTGTTATTCGAGTAAATCGATTTTAAATTCACCTATATTTATATAAAAAAAAAAGAAATAATACATTTTGCACTGCGTGAAAGATTATTACAATTATATGTCTGAATAGTCTTTTTCTAATATTGATCTCTGTTTCAAACATAGCCATTGCTTTTTTTCACTTTTACAAGGATATAAAGTTCGAGTCGGTAAACTTTGCAAATTTTCACTTATTACATCGTTATTATTGTTTTTATTATTCGAAAAACGATTTTAAATTCATCTACATTGATATACAAAAAGAGAGCTAATACATTTTGCATTCTAAAAAATGATTACAATTTACAATTATACGTATGAATAGTCTACCTTTTTCTGATATATTATCGATCTTTGTTTCAAACCTGGTCATTGCCTTTTTCTCTATTTTATAAGGCTAAAGTTCGATTCGGTAAACTTTGCAATTTTGAATTCATTAGTTCGCGAATCGATTTCTCGCAAAACTCACGAGAATACGAAGACGTTGATCGAACAGATCAGTGTTGATCTTTTGTGACGATAGGGGCTTGATGAAAGGGCAGTTTGAGAGATGGGGTTTTGGATAACCGTGGAGAAGATATGCGGGGGATGATGACGGCGAAAAGTGTGGTAGTATTCGCAATAAAGGGTGCGCAATGAAGGGTTTCGCACCCGTGGGTGGTTAAATTGCACTTTGTGGTACGGGCTACTTAACATTCTAAAATACTTGCCGTTCCGCCCGCTCGTATCGCAATGCATTTTAATTGCGCCTCACTTTCACGATCAGAGAGAACGGAGGAATTTAGCATTACGAATAACGGCCGTGTGTAAAGCAGTTCACGGATCGTTCAGAGAGACTTTTATGTTACAAAAGGGATGTAAGAATTCGTCTTTGAAAATTCTCTCTCCGCTCTTTACAGAAGCTGAATCAATAGCTTTGTAGGAAACAGTGATTGTCATCTTTCGGTATACATTCTCATGTTTCTGTCCATCTATTTTTTTTTTGGAATGTGAGTAAATATTTCAAACGTAAGACGTCGTGTTTTGAAAATATTATTTTTCTTCGATATAAAAGCTTTTATGTGACTGGGTTAATAAAGTTCTTACGTTTTCGTATACAGGATGTCTCAATCTTACCGTACCATCCATTTATGGGAGACTTAAGGTCATCATTTTTTTTTAATGATCCCAATTTTTGAAATCGTGTATCTTTGTGAAAAATTCTATTAAAGTAAACTTTACCTGAAATTAACTACAAAATGTAGTTTTGTTAATTTATTTTCACAAGGCTTAGTTCAGCTTTTATTTTCAATTGTTTATGACTCGAAAATTATTGGTGCCTGGACATCGTCTCTGAATCTCCCATTAACGTGTGTTACGGTAGGTCTGGGACACCCTGTACATTTTCGTCTTTTATTCCCCGGCATCTAAGCG